AATAACGATCCAACCTAACATTAATTGAGGACAGAAACCCATTGATAAACTGTGATCTCAATTGTTTTATGCCTTGTAAATACACTTTACTTTATATCTGACAACCCTCCATGAAGCATGACTTTAATCACTTGGTTGTTTATATTTTTATTCCAATGGATTGTTAACATGTGGCTTTTTGAACAAAATAAAGTTTTTGTGTAAATTAAGAGATTTTCTCATCTCAACAAAAGTAGAGAAATGGCTCAATATTTGCGGGCATATTTTGCAAAAGGAATCCTTGACCTCTGAAGCTTCATTTACCTGAATGCAAACAATGAATGCAAAAGGCAGAGACCTGATTTTACATTAGACATTATTTTGGGGGGAGAAAAGAGAGGTAAGGATTTTTATTTCCCTGACATTTCCCCTACATTTCTTGAGCCTTACTGTGCCTTACCCTTTCAGATGAAATGTTAAACTGAGGTCATCTGCCAGGACACCATGGTCCCAATAAAATTGGGCATTTGTTTCACAGCTGTTTGTGGAACATTGCTGTGCGCAATTGTGCTGCCACGTTTGCCTAAAATTACACAGTCACTCCACTTCACAGTAGATTCTGTGAAGCACTTTGAGACATCCTTCTGATGTGATAAAAGTGCTATACCAAATGCAAGGATTATTATAATTATTATTAGTGCATCATTCCTGTGCTTTTTACACAATCTGCCAGCAGGCATCTGCCATTGCTATTCTGTCATCTACTGCTATGTGATGAGATTATCCTGGGAGGAACTTTTAGTCCAATTGTTCGATTAGATGTTATAGCTGAATTTGCAAACTCACTCGTGTAACAACAATCCTTGCATTTGATCCAGTGCCTTTCATGTCGGAAGGACGTCTCAAAGCTCTCCAGTGTAGCGAGTTTTTATTCTGTAGCCATCAAATGCAAATATGGGTTGAAATGCTTTTCTATCACTTTTACCAGAATACATTGTTTCAACTTTGTCCCATTTCAGACCCAGTCAAAATCCGGAGAGAATTTAGCACATAGCCTTAATGTCTAAGCAGCATTGAAGTGTCAATAAGCAGTTTAAAGTCTTTTGAACACTAAAAGTCAAGGACAGGTTCACAGAATTCTCCTTTAAAATAGAAACAGATGGCATTTTCCACCAGTAAATTGCAATATTTATAATAATCACACGAGAAGACTGCATGCAGCTCTTAATAATTTGGCTATTTCATCTTGGCAATAATTTGAGCCCAATTTATAAAAAAACTTGTGCCCATAAGAAAAAGAACAATCTGTTTATACATCCACAATCACACCATAAATGTGGCAGCATAGGGCAATAAGTTTCCTGTAAAAATATGCTGAATTTTATTCACATTACAACTGATATGATCTTTGTTTTTATGGTCTAAAAGTATTTACAACATCCACAAAATGTGTCGGATATTTGGGTTGTGAGAATTATTGTTAACTTGATCTCGAGGAGCTTTCATTTTGTTTTAATCAGAAAACGTTTTATAATTCGTGAACTGCTTTGCCTTTGAGTTGATCCCCACCCACTCAGTTTTCAGGGTTTTTCTGCTCTGATCTCCCATGGCATTAGGCGCTTTGTTGCTTCTAGTGCCCTGCAGTGGTTGCACAGGAGCTGCCACATTCCCTGCTCTGTCAGGCAGCTTTGCCTGGGATCAGGAGCTCACCAAGTTAAGAATTGCTGGAGGCCAGGAAATACATGCATTTCACAGGCTATAGCCTATTAGCTCATGCCTGTGCCACATATCTGCGATTCTCCTAGAAACTAAAGTTACATAGAGTTATCTAGAGCGCTAAAGCACAGAGACAGACCATTTGGCCCAATTAGCCTGTGCCATTGTTTATATTTCACAAGAGCCCTCACTACTCCTATTTACCTCTCCTACACTCCTCTATTCCATTCTCCTACATATCTGCATTTAAGCTTCAACCGAAACTTCGGACTGTGAGTTCCACGCTCTTACTGTATGAAGTGACTTCTTACTTTATAATTTGCTGTGATTTAAACCAAAGAAACATTTCTGGTGGTACAAGCACCGCCAAAATGTCCATTTGAATGCAGGGAAGCAAAAATAACGAAAGCAAGAGGATTATGAGGATACAATAATAACTTGTAACCACTTGAATTTATATAGCGCCCATCACACAGGGGAGTGTCCCGGAGTGCTTGAAACTAAAGTTATATAGAGATACAAAGGATATGTTAGAACAAGGTGACTGTTGGTAAGACTGGATGGTGGTACTCTATCTGAATAAAAGGATAAGACATTGCTGTGATCAATGTGGACAGTTGGAGCCCAAAAAACACATTAGAGACTACAGTCTTGTCCCTTTCTGAATGATTTCAAAGGTGCAAAACTGTACAATACACATGGGGTAAATTGCAGCTGACCCCTGCCTGAAATCATTACTATGTTACTTCAATACTGAGGTTTCCTGGGTGACCAGTTTGAAAATGCTAATAGAGAGTTTACATGTTAAAGTATTATACTTCATTGATCAGAAACATTATATCACAGAAATGTATTTTGCTTGAACTTGAATGTAAAATGGCTCTTTTATTGTCTTGTAACCCACTTCAAATTAATTGAATGCAGCATTTAATGGAAAGTATGAGTGAACAGACTCGAGGTTTGGTGACTCAACGGAGATCTAATCAGCAGTCAAACGCAAAGTGGGAGCTGGGACATGATGTCCCTCTTGCCAAAGCTCTATCACTAACATTGCCATGAACACATCAGTGCACAACTCAGCAATGCAACCCATCCTAATGTAAAGATAAAGGGTTGGTATTCAAAGTCCCTAATCTCCAATGTGTAAAACAGACCTGACACTATCTCTTATACTTATACTCTTAAACTTGCCTGGATTTTTATGATGTTCTACAATCTGATGCAAATAATATTTTATTGATTAACAATTGGTACTTGTATGATGCCGGAAGGCAAAACGTTGAGAAAAAAAACTGAATTTGATCATATCTGGTGCTTTACAGAAAAGCATGTGGTAGTGGGGTTGGGGAGGGGTTTGGTGGTGGGGGGTGGGAGGGGAAAGGTGAGCAAGGGGGAGGAAGCAGAGCTTACAAATGTGCACCTTTAGTGAAAGTCTCACCAGCCGGTGTCCGGATCATACAGGCAACAATTGTGGTGAATCATTATTACAATTGTTGATTTGTCTCTGATTTGTGTTCAGCGAGCGCAAAGATTGTCATCGAACGAGGGAAAAAAAATTGGGAGAAAATTAAGTCAAAAATAATATTTGATATTGTCTGAGGAAAATTAGAAAAATTAAAAATTGAATTCTCCCATCCCTATTTATAATTCAGTTATCTTGCTATCATAAATGGATCAGAGGCGAACTCTCATACCGCAAAGAATTCAAGATCCAAGGTTCTGCAGTCCAATGCGCCAGCCTTCCCATAATGGAAGCTCCAAATGTCCGACAGCATACATCCAAAGTTTCAATCTGCTTTGGCCCAGACTTAACTTCAGGCAGTTCAGATGTTCTTGAATGGCTTTCTCTGGCCAATGCTCAACATTTTGCTCAATTAATGCACTAATACTCGATTTAGATTTGCAGCCTCTTTGATGCTTCCTCTTTATCTCCCATGATACCATTTGACAACAAAGGTCTTTTGTTACTTGTGTAACTTCAGTACAGGAGAGAAATTCCTGGAGATCACTAAATCTCAATGAGACCCGAAGTTCAGCTCAGTTTCTGACATACCAGCTCACTCATCCCTATTTTCAGGGTCATGATTAAGGAGAAACACTTGGCATGATAATCATAATGGGTTATTACATGGTAGAGTTTGGGGAACGATTTTAGACATTACCACAAGATTCATCTACTGTTTGATTGAGGTCTCGAAACTCGAAACCATGAATTTTTTCCCTTTTTTTTCAAAAAAGCAATCTACTGTATTTTAACAGCTGAATGATGAGGCCACACGGGGCTTTGAACTCTGCTGCCTCCTTCCATTGGAATGAACTGGGGACATTAGCGTTCATGTGAAAGTCAGCCTGTCCCAGGCAGTTGATTCTTTGTACTGTTTTGTTTTCAAACAATCTTTCAAAAGAACTAATTTCAATAGTCTCAGGGTATTGAGAGTGTCTGTGGAAGTGATTCCCGAATAAGGGGACTGATCAGGCCCTAGATGTTATACAGACGAGAGCAAAGAGGCTGATCCCAGTGTTAGCTACGATTAGACAAACTAGGGCTGTGAAGGGACCTCATAGAGGTGACTTGAAATGGGATTAAGGAAGGAAATCCAGAACAATAGTTTCGGATGCAACCAAATAGCTGAAAGAGAGGATATATGGATAGGATTGCAAAGAGCAATTTTAGGTCTGATACCAGGAAGTATTTTTTTTATCCAGAGGCTAATTAACAATTGCATAGCTTGTCAGGTAGTGCTCTCAATGGTAAGCTACGCGGTTTGAGCTGGTTAGACTCCAGCGGTGCCCCAACACACACACTCCGCAGTCCCCAAACCTTGGGTCTTACCAGCCTGCACCTAATACTTTTTGGGATTAGGTAAGCGTGATGCGTTCCTCCAGGGAGAGAGTGCACATTCCAGTCTAATCAACATCGTTGGAATTTCCATGTTAGGTGGGATGCATGGAATTCTCAGTTTGGTTTGGATACTCTTAAGCATGGTGATGGGTTTATGACACCAGGAAGGGTGGTTGAGGGCAGGAAGTTAGAATCATTTAGAAAAAACTGTTTGATGTTGTAATCGGAGGGTGGGTCTCCTGGGAGGATGAAATCCAGTGGACCAAAGACCCTTCTTCATATGAACCTCTCTTGTGATTTTGTAATGTTCTAAACAATTTGCATTAGAATTTACGAGGCCCATCAGTGCTTTGAATTATTGAAGGCGAAGCATCTAACTTACTCTCCTCAACCTCTAATACAGGCAAAATAGAGGGTTTATGGGAGATTGAAATAATATGATTAAAAAAAAACTTTGTCCCACCTGAATAGGTTCTGGAGATAACTGAAGGACGTGTTGCAGTCGTTCGTTATGATGGTGTCGAGATTCCTCTTCGTAAATGGCGTCCCGATCAACCTGGGCTATGTTTAGGAAGCGCATGATAGTGCACAGATTTTCCCACAAGGTCCTGTTCTCTGGTGATGGGTTTTCTTTCCAACGGAGCAGCTCACACAGCCATCCCTGTGCGAAGAAGATAAAGATTAAACAAACAGCGGGCAGGCGGCCCGGCAAAGCTCTGCGTTATCCTGAATGTAAGGGATCTCTTTAATCTGCCTGCACGATAATATAAACAAGGCATTTCTTGGTGTTTGGATGCACTCTTTTTCCAGGAATTATTATAATAGTTACAGCAACAAGTCATTTGGAAATTCCTAACACTCCTGTATAAAATCCATGTGGACACATCCATCATCAGCCTGAAAAGTGGTCTTTCGCTTAATGAAGATGAATCCATTTAGATGGCCTGATTTCAGTTTATTGCACATTCAGACTAACAGAGATGAATGATTTTCAATAGTTTAATATTGATAGAATGCCACGTTAATATTAAAATTTCAATAGCTTTTTATTAGTTCCATCGCAACGAAACGGTGTTCAGAGACTCCAGACAAGAAGCAAGGAACATACAGTACTTTGTGAAAGAAACTGCATCGCTCTCACCACACATCTTTGAGACAGACCAGTGCACAGGCTCAGTTGGAAGGTTTCCAGCATGGCAGTGACCATTGAGTCTGCTGTAATTTTCATAATAACTATATTTCTGAATAATTTCAAGGGTGCAATTATTACAGTACTAAGAGCTGATGCCATGCAGTTTCTGTCTTGCATGATACATTTGCAAGATGACAAAGCCCCTTTATCTGAAACAGGTCACGTAGTTTGGTGTGTGCGGTCTACAATTGACAAAAAAAAACAACAAATTATCACGCAAACATTTTTTTAAGTAAAAGACAGTTTTTACAGTCTCAAGGTTTGTACCAGTGACTCTCAATTCGATTCTCCATCATCTCAATTTATACGGCGTAAACATTCTTAAAAAAGGTTCATAGAATCAGAGAAGAAATGAGCAGAAGGAGAAAGCTATTTGGCCCATCATGTCCTCCCTGGTGCGAGCTCCCCCACTGGAGCGCTCTACTCTAATCATATTCCCTTGCCCCTGAACCCTTTAATATTATTTTTCTTCTAGTATTTATCCAATTCACTTTTAAATTCTAGCATGGACTCAACTTCCATAGCCATTTGTGGTAAAACATTCCACATCTTAACAACCCTCTCTGAGTAAAATTATAATTTTTTAAATAACTTTCCCCTTTTTTCTTTTTGTGACGATTTTCAATATATATCAACTTCTTTGACTCACCAACAGTGGAAATAGTTGAAAACCTCTATCGTATTCTTCCCCTAACCTTGTTGCCCCAAAGGAAAATGTCTCAACTTTTCAATTGTCTTCACGTAACTAACCATTGTATGTCAGCACGACTTGGTTGGTAGCGCTCTTAACTCTAAGTCTAACTCTTAACTCTAATTCTAAGATTGTTGTTCAGGGTTCAAGCCCCACATTGAGACTTTGAATTAATATATTTTGGGCCCACCCTCAAATACATTGCTGGGGAGTGCTGCATTGTTGGAGGTGCCATTCCTCAGGTGAGATGTTAAACCGAGGTCCTGTCTGCCTGCCTGTTCAGGTGGATGTTAAAGATCCCATGGCCTTTTGGAAAAGTGAAAGCAGTTTCTCCCAGTGTCCTGGCCAACAAATCCCCCAAATAAAATAGATCATTTACTTCATGGCAGTTTGTGGGACATTGCTGTGCCCAAATTGGCTCCCACGTAAGCCCACAAAATACGCAGTCACTACACTTTTAAATCCTGTGAAGCACGTTTAGACATCCTCCCAATGTGAAAGATACTATAATAATTCTTGCATTTGTCACGTATCCTATCATTCAGTTGTCTGGATGTAAAGTGGATTGACTGTGTACTTTGTGGGCAAAACGCGGCAGCAAAGAAACAACCATATACTGAGTGACCAATCTTATTTGTGGGATTGTTGTTCCAATAAGAGACTCCTTTCTCTTTTCAAATAGTGTCATGGGATCTTTAACATCCATCTGAACAGGCGGACGGGACCTTGGTTTAATGTCTCATCCTAACGATCGGACCTCCGCCAGTATCTCCAACACTGCACTAGTATCAGCTTAGACTGTGTGATTCCACATCTCAGTCGGTGGCTTGAACCCACAAGCTTCTGATTCAAAGGTGTTTTGATGTTCTATTTGCCAGAAAAAAATTACAGTGGTGGGAATTTGTAAATTACTCTACATTGGGCACACATACATTGCCAACGAAGATTCAGCCTTACAAAGGTCAACCTTTTTATTTCACTGCTCTGCTAGCTGGTTTTATAAACCTCCTCCCCTGTTGGTTTGCCTATTTTTAGACTGAGATAGTGTTTAAAGTGCCTTTAACCAAAACGTTTGCTTACTCACTGGCAACTAATGACACTAAGTTTTACTTAGGAACCCCCAATTATTGTTAAATATACAGTGCAGACTCTTAACAATATTATGTATGGTACTATTCCAGGAGACCGAGAAATTATTAGAATTTGAGACCGATTTTCAATTTCCCACAAGAAGACACTTTGTGAGTGCAATTGTACTTGCAAAGTGATGGCTCTGGAATAAGTTACTGTTGTGCTATTTTTTAGTACTTCAGTGACAATCATTGGTCCAACATTCAGAGGGCTGAACTTTTCCACAACTAAAATGAGAAAGTAACCTTCCCTGATGGCTCAGCGTGGTCACTTCACTGTTTGCTGCAGCATTGAGCAACCTATAGCAGTAAGTTCCCTGGTTCAGTTCCCGGTCTGAGCTGACTTCTGTGACCTCAACCAGGGCAGGGGTGAGGCCACTGCTACTGGCTTACGTATCTGTGGGCTAGTGAGGGAGGAGAATATAAGCCTGGCTTATTTCTCTGCTAAGCTTCTCCATCCATTAACCTTTGCTATAAGGTCCATGTGTTTGTCAATGAGTAAGCAAGCATGGTTGCATTTCCTGCTGACACTCCCAGCTTAGGGTCACAGGTAAAGAATGGTCACTTGGGCATGTTCCTGGATTGCCTGCTGACATCCATGCAACTGTACAACATCATGAGCCAGATGAACACAAGCTTGAACCCTCAACCTTCTGATTCCCAGGCAGGAGTGCTACCAATTGAGCTAAACTGACAAGCTGGTAAGAAGGAGGTTTACGTAGAATAAAAAGGGCGAGGCTCTAGGATGGAATTCCAGAGGATATGTCTTTACAAATTAATTGGCATGATTTTAAATAATGATGACATTCTCATTGGAAAGAATCTGAGTACCAAAAATAATGGGAGTTACACTGCAGTACTTTTTTTGTAGATATCAGGGCTATTGGATTCTTCCAGACCTGCAGCAACAGTGCCCATCATAATAAAAACATATTGCATTAGAGACACAGTGAATACTGTATACTGTTAGATCAAGGAATCAATTTCCTCAACTCAATTAGGGAAAACATCCCAAATTCATTCAGATGGTGTTTACCTCCCCAGCCCAAAGAGGAAATGTAATTTTAATAACCACTAAGAAAAAAGAAATCATTAAAAATATACCCAATTTACTGCCAAATTCAGAATTAATTTAACACATTGATATATTATCTAAAATAAATTCTGCTTTAACGTTGCCTTAAGATGAGAAATCTGAAACAGGAATAACTAACCTTTACATTCATTATAGTGCCTGTTCATGTTGGGGGAACATCTCAAAGCATTTTGCAGAACATATTGTAAAGTGTAGTGGCTACATGTTTGTGGGCGAAAGGGGCAGTCAATTTGCGCACAGCAATGTCCCACAAACAACCATGGAGTGAGTGACCAATTTAACTTGGGGGATTGTTGGCCAGGACACGAGGAGAAACTCCCTTCCTATTTCAAACAGTGCCATCCACCTGAATAAGCAGACCGGACCTCGGTTTAAAGTCTCATCCGAAGGACGGCATCTCCAACAATGAAGCACACTCCCCAGCATTGCATTGGAGCATCAACCCAGAGCACATGAGTTCTGAGGCTCGATGTGGATCTTGAGCCCACAACCTCTAACTCAGAGGCGAGAGTGCTACCAACTGAGCTAGACTGAAACACAAATCACTGAAAACAGGAAGAAAATTTTGTGGTTTATAAATATTTACTAGAACGTCATTGGCTGATCCCTTTGTTACACAAGTAAATGACCTCCCACACAGTGTCCTAGGCATCAAAAACAACCAAGAAAAGAGCTTGCTATTGTCTTACAAAGTGCACCCACATATACGTCTGAGATCTTGTACACACCGTAATGAACATGGTAGTAGTAGGCGATGGGTAGACATTCACCCTGGAAGTAAATTTGACTTGAGATATTAAAAAGGATTCAGATGCTTTGTATAATAACCATAATCTTGGAGACTGTCGAAATGTAACCCTTTTGTTGCCATCTTTTTGAGGAAAAACATTTTAGCATTCCTATTTTTACTATTGTATTTATGGATTTTTGACTATATATATTTTACAACTACATATTTTTATATAGTTATAAACTGATTTGAGACCATTTAATGTAACTTTACAATGCCACTCAGATTTTGCTTTTAAGCACAAAGTCAAATTCCTTTCTTGTGCTTTTAAACTTAACAAGGTGTTAGCTGCATGATTCCACAGCGAACACGTTACTGTCGTCTAACACAGACTGTTCATTTAATGCTTGCAAAACGTTTTGTTCTGTGCTTACAAAGCAAAATGCTTTTCCTATTTGTGTCCAGTATACTTTGTGAATCTGATCTGATTCAAAGATTCTGAAAAGTATAGGATCATCTCCGTTATCTTAGACTTTGCCTACACAGTCACTATATTTGACCAATTGGGATTTGAGTTCACGATCTAGGCTGATACTCCAGTGCAGTTCTAAAAAGTGCTGCATTGAAGGAGATGTCATCTTTCGGACAAGATATTAAACCAAGGTCCTGTCTGCCTCTTCAGATGCATATTGTGCGAAAAGAAAAGGGAGTTTCTCCCAAACTCCTAGTGAACAATTATCTAGATGAAATTGGATTAAATTAAATCAATTAAATAATTATTTAAATTCATGGCTGTTTGTGGGACATTATTATACAGAAATT